ACCAGTCTCATCATGGGGAATACTACATCCAGCTGCCCAGCCATGTTGACATACAAACATAACTATCACAATAATCAAAGAAATTCTGAATAATCAATTAAATTCTGAATAATAGTTCTTTGAAGACCAAGTCATGATGTCATTTAAAGGAAAATATTCCTGAGAACTTTGTCCACTTTTTCAAAGTTCATACCTAAGAAATGACTGATGGGAGAAGATGTCTTGGTAACAACCCTGTTGAGGACTTGCTCCAGAATTTCTTGTCTGACCATCTCATGAATCTAAAAAGAACAGAAGAACCAAGAAAATGACTAACAGAATACTCCTTGGTGATCTTTGGCTAACAATTACATCAATGCATGTTAGGCAGAATTCAGACAGTCTGGGTATGGGTAAAACTTCACTGTTTATTGCAAAGACAAATCAGAAACTAATGCGAATCATCTGGAAAGTCAGAATCACTCAAATCTACCCTCATTCTGTGTTCAGATGCCTCATTAACGTAAAAGAACAGATCATGTGCAAGTAATGGTACACATAAGGCCTCACATCAAATAGGAGTAATTTTACTAAGATATCCACTATATGCTAACATCCAAATTTCTGACAGTACAAAAGCTTTATCTTAAAAATTAAAATTTGAAAGCCTATGTAAATTTCTGGACATCTAAAAAAATCTTCATTAACCTCTTAATTTCTAGAAGCATGTTGTTGTTGTTATGTGCTGTTAAGTCAGACCTGACTCATAGTGACCCTTCCACGGGTTTCTGAGACAGTATCACTATGGAAGTAGATAGCAGTTGCCTAAAAAATTTCTGAATTTGTATGCAAATTTTAGTTAAAATTCTTACTTGAACTGATTCTTTTGAGGTACACACTAATTTCTTTCAGATCTTAGACTGATGGTTAGATCAGTAAAAGTAAATTATACTCTACAGGTGCCTTGACAAAGCCAATATTCATGTGAAATCAAATGTATACCTCTTTAATTGTAAAGAATATGAATTTAAAAATAAAAAACACTAAAGTCTCTTATCCTGGGAATTTTTTTAATCAGATTGCTGTTAAAAAGGGTCATTCATATTATCCAATCGACTTGAAACCCTCAAGGACTATTCTACAGCATTCACCTCATAGTTCTGGATCAGAACACCAGATTTACATTTAGATTAGCTTCCAAATAACATTTTCAGCAGACACTTTTGATGTGTAGCTACATTAAACAATTGAATGTCAAAAAGATGACTTAAAGGAATCACTAGCAAAGCAAATGTAGTTTAGCCTCACATATGATTTAATTTGCTTTCAATTACTATGTGAAAGGAAATGAATTTTTGGAAGATATAAGAATTAAATGAAAGTCAAAATTTGGTAAGGATGTCAAAAAATATAAACCATCCATCCATTTTGGGTTCTTTAAAAACAACTAACGAACTATTAGGGTGTCTATCCAGGGGGGAGTGTGCCCACGACCATGTTTAGGTTTCAAGTGTATTTGTATGCTCTGTAAGAATTCCCAGGTATATAGAAAAGCTGACAAGGGACAAGGTTGTAGTCACTTCTTGGCCAAAGCCAGCTACCCAGAGGGAGTGAATAATTGGACTGAGGGTTCAGGACCACAGTTGCAGGGGACATCAAGCTCAATTGGCATAACATATTACACCAAAACATTGTTCCACATCCTACTTTGGCGAGTAGCAACTGCAATCTTAAAAGCTTGCAAGCAGCCATCTAGATGCAATGATGGGTCTCTCCTCATCCAAAGCATAGAAAAATGAAGAAAACCAAAGACACATGGAAACAATTAGTCCAAGCAACTGGTACACAATGTAATCCTCAGCTTATATGACTATGAGATCGGAAGAAATAGATGGTGCCCAGCTACCACTGTCAACCACTCAGAGGGGGATCTATGCAGGAAGTCCTGGATAGAGTGGAAGAACAATGTAGAACAAAACTCAAAATCATTCAAAAAAGAAAAAAAAGGAAAAAGAGACCAGGTTTGCTGGTCTGATAGAGATTGATGGAACCACTGAGACTATGACCCCTAGCTGCCCTTCAGGTCTGGAACTGAACCCACTCCTGTGGCTTCTGCCAAACAAAAGACAGGCATATGAGCTGAACATTTACATTACATAGATATACTCCTTAGAGAGATCAATTATGGGAGAATAGAAGGGCTGTGTATACACAGGGAGACAGCTCAGGGGGCAGGAGTGTATGGAAAGGAAGGACACAGGGAAGAGGTAACTATGGGGACGTAGTGGGAGGGGAACTGTTGCACTGTGGGAAATTGCAGTCAATGTCATGAAACAAAGTGTGTGTGAGCTGCTATATGGAAAGTGAATTTGCTCTGTAAACTTTCACAAATCACAATATTTTTTTAAAATGTCAGATTGTCTCAAAAAAAAAAAAAAAAGAAACAAACAAACATGAATCTTCAAGCTATGATATTCTCCAAAATAAAACCAAACTTCATAAAACATTAAAGATAAATCTACCACACGATCCACCCATTTACTACTAGGTATTTTCCCAAGAGAAATGATAGCACATGTCTACACAAAGTTGTATACAGCAGTTTTATCTGTAATAGCTAAACAAATGGAAACAACCTAAAAATCTATCCACAGGTGAGTAGAAAAACAAATTGTGATTATATTCATATCACAGAATACTACAAACAATAAAAAAGAACCAACTATATGCACCATCCATGGAAAAATCTCAAAAGAATTACTCTGGCTGAAATAAACAGACGGGGGAAAAAAAAAGAGTGAATTTTCTTGATTTAATCATTCTGACTCACAGCAACCCCCATGGTGTTGCCAAGGCTGTAAATCTTTACTGAAGCAGACCACAGACTGCCTCATCTTTCTCTCGCAGAGTAGCTGGTGGGTCTGAACCACCAACCTTTTGGTTAGCAACCAAATGCCTTAACCACTATACCACCAGAGCTCCTTATGATGGTCTCCAAACAAACACACAAACAAACAAACAAACAAACAAAAACCAAACTCACTGCCATCGAGTCGATTCCAACTCATAGCAACCCCCACTGGGTTTCCGAGGCTGTAAATCTTTACAAAAGTAGACTGCCCCATCTTCCTTCCACAGAGCGGCTGGTGAGTTTGAACCACTGACCTTCTGGTTAGCAGTCAAATTCCTTATCTGCTATGCCACCAGAGCTCCTTAGGATGTTCTCCAGTGACTTAAATATTATTATTTGAATGAGGGAATAGCATTAAAAAAAAAATCCAAAAATAATTTACTGCTGGAAGAAGAGAAACCACAGAAAAGCCATTGTATGTTCAAACTTCTAAGAAGTGACTAGAAATGATAGGACTTAGTGAAATAAATGAAAAATTATAAAGAAAGGATGAGAAAGTAAATATTGCATGTAATTAGGTCAGGAATGTTTCAATACCACCTCAATTTCTGCTTTTGTTCTTGTCCTAAAATGCTCAGGTAAATGTTATACTGTATTTACAGTATGACTTAACAAAATTAGGCAATGGTTGCCAAACTAGTGTCTCACCTTAAAAGTTTCCAACAGGATATTAGCTCCTAGCTTACATGCTTGGTGGACAGGCATTCTAGAAAGACCTGGGCTGATTTCAATAGCTTTTCCTTCAAGAGTCTTCTTTGGCCCATATGAATCCATTAAAATGAAACCAAGTTCTACTAGGCCTTGAGTAACATGATCCCAACTGTGAACACTGCAAGAAAACAAAGCTTAGTTAAATAAAAGGAAGCCTCAGTAAAATAGCTAACCTTTATAATCACTGCCATGTTACATATTTTCCAAACTTGATCTGGATAACCATGATACCCATCACACCTTTCCTTTTCTCGCATCCTGTCTTACAGAATTGTGAGTTTCTAAATGTATAGTAATGGGAATGATAGGAAAGTAGTCTCCACTGACAGAAATATCCAGAACTAGAAAATGTTAAAAACATATACAGATGAAATGGAACATTCCAACATAATGACCATTTGAGATTTCCATTCAAGATCTCATGATTACAAGTTAATTGCTTCTTCTAGTCCACCATCATACTAATAATACATTAGTGGTTTGACTCCCTCCCTGACTGAGATTCTCCAAAGTAGAGATCAAGAGTCAGATTTTTACCCATGTAGTCTCACACAAGGTGGGTACACAGACGATACCAGTACCTATTTATGGCACATATGGATGAATTATCTGATTTCAACAGCATGAGCTAAAATTATCAATAACCTCTTGGTAAGCAGTAGAAGTCTTAGGAATTTTATATCACTTAATGCTAACCAGAAGGCTGGGGGTTCAAACCCACCAGTCACTCCTTGAGAGGAAGACTGGGCAATCTACTTCCATAGAGATACTGCCTTGGAAACCCAAGGAGGGATTGCTGTGAGTCTGAATCGACTCGATGGCAGTGAGTTTAGTTTAATGTTATCCATTGTATACTATATCACTTGGGAGCTCTGGTAGCATAGTGCCTAAGGCATTTGACTGCTAACCAGAAGGCTGGCGGTTCAAACCC